GATTACCGGCTCAATTGGGCACCTTGGACGTTTGACTCTGTCCGAAGAGCGTATGATCCGATGAACTGGACACCGGCCCCCAACGGATTGCGCATTTCGCACACCGCCTTGCCGGTCAAGCTTTGGCTAGCCAATAGCTCCAGTTATGGATTCCTCAAGAAAATTCAGCTGCCTTGACCTGACAGTATTCGGCCCACATGCAAATCATGGAACTTTTTTTACAAAGATTATTGTACCGCGATTTGTTTGGCACAGTCTGAATTCAAACGTGTGTGGAAATATAAGTATAAATGTATACTAGACAGTTATTACTAACCGTCAAACTTTTCTTTATCACTAAAATCGACAATTTCCACCAACCACTACTGTCTGCTCCGGGTTTGACCAGGAAATTTATTCACACTGTACCGATAGATTAAAACCAAAGTTTATGTTCTTAATGCATCTATTGATGAAAAGGCTTCTTTAAGACTTTCATCATCCCTTTTTTCCATTTATACCCAAACGAGTAATATCATTTATAACTATTGTTACTCCGTTAAAATTTTTTGTGTAAAATTGAAGGATAGCTTCTCGACCGCTAAATTCACGGCACAGATGAGAGAATCGTGCAGACAGGTCTCCAAAAGGCTTCAGCTGTCATACACTTGTGCACGGTTATCAGAGCGGAATCCAAGCGATCAGAGGCATTATTCCCCAATCAAATTAGGAGGACAAAAAACGGCAAACATCTGTGGCACGGTATCATGTTTCCATGTGGAAGGAGGAGGACGTGGACGTCCACATTCAAGCGGTCACTATGTGACATACGATCACGACTCGTCGATCAGTCTTTCTGCCTGCCCCCATCAAACATTTATGATGTAAAATCGTGCCGAAATTCTAATGAGCTAAAACTGCAGAACAATTTTTATTCACACTTTAATGCAGGCTCGAGTGAGCTGCTTCAAACACGTTTTAAATATGAATCCATTTTCCGAACTGCGGTAGCCAGCATCGTGTAAATGAATTACCTAACAGTTCCACCATTGAAAACAAAGTCCGGTAGGCCAAACAAGCCGTTTCTAGATAAATTCATCCGCAAACCATTACAATTATATACGGGACAATATGTGAATATCGATAGCTTTGCACCATTAAAGTGAAAGAGAAATTTACTACAGTGCTATGAGGGCACGGAAAATTGGCTCTCCCAACGCTGTGGTCGAAGAACTTGAACACATCAAAAACTCCCCTCGACGGGATCGGTTATCCGGATAACTATAGATAAACATCTAAAGGAGATATACGCGTGAATGGTTGTGAACACGGTCAACAAGAAGGCACTCTACTTGCAAAGATGATAACACGACTGAGTGGCTTACACGACGGATCAGAGAAGCATTACGTCAACAGCTAAACTGCGCATGAATTTCACTACGTCCTCAGCAATACGGTTCCACCTCAAAGATAAACTCCCCCCCAAGCCGCATCCGCGTGCCTTTACGCGTTTACTTGCCTCTGTAGAGCGAGCTACATCAGCCGAACTACAAGGCAGCTATCGAAGAGGATACGCGAACACCACCCCCGCTGGTTGAGACAAGGTGAAACTACCCGCTCAGCATAAAAATTAGGGAGACTATTTAAGATGATGTACAATAATTTGTGTGTGACAAAATTGGTCAGGAACGGTGAAACAGACGAACAACGCCACCGGTTTCCAGTGCACTACTCAGTACACCGTGACCCCCTACTCCATCAGAAGTACGCGATCAAGATACTCATGGAGTATTCCTTTCCAAAGAACTGAATCCAGATACATAAATCAATATATTGTGCTTAAATGAATGATTTACTGAAGAAAAAAATAGGAACAGATGAGGAAAGTCACGACTATATATATATACACAGCGTACACAAACACGAGGGAGGGCTAATGTTGTTTTCGTTTTCCCCGTTCCCCGGATCGTCGTTGTCGTGTTTTTCCCGAGACTGGCACATCAGTCACACTCTCGCTCACGGGGAACAGGGCCATACAGAAAAAGTACACTTGGATGAAAGCAGCAATCAACAAAGCCCCACGAATCAGGTGATCCAACACCGTGTCTTCCGGTGCAGATGGGAACACGTCCGAGTCAGGCATGAACTGTCACCGAAATTCGGTCGGACAATTGCGCATGAGGTAAACAGAGGAAGCGTAGCTGAAACGAAAGACAAGTAGTGAAGAAAGCAATAGGGAAAATACATCTCGCGAGAGCCCATACTAACAGAACATGCTTTACTTGATTGAAATATTCACCAGACTGCAATACGGGGTGAAATGAAGAACGGACACACGAGAGAACAGTCAGTTATCTCATGATGCAGTGGAGTCATTCAAACTGAACCGGTTTGAAGAATAATTGCATCGATTGCGTTTGCTGAACACGGTATCGAAAGTTCAGTTAAAATCAACATGTGGTTCAAGCAGAAAATTCCTCCCATAAGGAATATAAATTTTTCTGGGGGAGGGACGATCTTTATGTATGTTCAACCCAGGGTGAGACAAAATTGTCGAGCCGGATAAAAGTAGTCTCATTTCTGCTTTACTCTACACGCCAAACTGAAACATACATTCAACTCGTGATTCCTATTTTCGACATACTTTACCGGGTCAGGAAATCACTCTTTATATTTCAAAGGGAATACAATCTGCCCCAGCGCCAATGATTGATTAGTTATCATCCACTCGTTTAGCTCACGGGTGTATGAGTACGAATCTCCACGCAGCGTACACATTCCATATGTCGTCCAGCACGACACCACAACTATCCCATTGGGATGTTATGTCGATCTCCACTCCAATCCAGGTTTGACGAGTGAAGCCGTCAATAGCTTAATCGAACTTATGGCCTGTATCTATGAGGGGATGAGTGTATGCTGCAGTAGCTCGGCCAGTTCTACTTTACACTGCAGATAATTGACCATTAAAGGAACAGGATAAAAATAGATTGTCGGTCTTCGAACACCGCTGTCTACGTAGCATCGCACGAGTCTAGTGGGGTAATCGGACGGGCAAAGCTGAGGTTGGGCGTAAAGTTTTAGATAATCGTGGTCGCCCGCTGGAACTCCATGGTGGTTGGGACGCGCTACGTATGGCAGCAGATAGAATGCCCCGGCGAGCAATTTTTGACGAGACAGGTAGAGGTTGGAAAAAAATGAAGGGTGGTCAAGCTAAGACCTGGCATGAGGGTATGAAAACCCTGGTCAGGGGACTGGCTCATATAGGTCTCATTAGGCTCCCTGACTGAGGACTCCGAGATCATAGTCACCGATGGTTAGAGACACTGAGCGATATGGCTGAGTGTCGCAAACAGTGGGGCTTATGCATCTACTCATTATTCTCGTAACGTCAGTCTACGTAAATGCGCTATCTTCCGCTTGAATCTGCTCTCAACATTCTAATCATCCTTCTGCT